CCCCCTGGTGGTCAGTACACATCATAGCTGGTTGGACTGTCGAATGGTCAGCTGGTCACTTAGGCTTTTATATATATAATCCTCTTATTGTGTGTTTGTTTCCTTTGAGTCATATCACAGTTTGGAATTATGCATTGATTTATTAGTGTACTTGTTTATAGTCACTCTCTCCCACTAGTTATGACTCAGCGAGGGTAGGATTTGTGTCTGTTTGGTTCATTATAAATCTAGATTCTCCTAATATAGTACCTTGGACACAGCAGTTGCCCACTAAATACAGTTTCATGTATCAGTGAGTAACATTTCCTGTTTATGTAGATAATACTGAACTGTTTCATTTTCTTAAAAGTAATCAATCTTTGAGAAACTGAAGAAGAGAAAAGACAAGTTCAGAAAAGCCACAGCTTAACAAGTTTAGAGTTGACTCTTCCTGGATGTGTCACATGTTTAGGAAACATGCATTTTTTTTCACATTATAAATAACATCTTTAGTATATTTAGGAATAAAGGTGCCTACTTTTATGGTTCTTTGAATATTGCTAAGGTGTTTTATTTTTCTTACGGGCCAATCAAGAGGACTTTAAGATTGAGCAAAAAGGGGGAAGAGTCCTAGATACAACCATAGGGGATGGAAAAACAAAAATTACAGTCCTGTTCTGAACAAGTATATAGTCAAATGAAAAATACTATAAGTAAGTAACATCCTGTAACCCACAGAGTTTGTAATGGTGTTGAAGGGGTCAGAACAACCAATGAATACTAATGGAGAAGGGAATTAGAGGTATCTGCCGGTTAACTAGGAAGTCTTATTAGGTAGTTTGCCTTCACTGCAAGTGTTTGAAGAAAGGACAATAACATTTTAGGAGGGATTTCTTCCTTTGAAGGAAGATGGGACATGATCTCTCATTTCCTCCCACTTTTGAGATTCTGTGAGATTAAACATGGCCCGATAAACATACTTGATCCTGAAAGATCGAGTAGAACATACGTGGATGGATGGGAAAAGTTTTTTCTCTTGTGATATACATGTACGTGTAGATATCGTAGACATAATGTGTATGTTTTTCTTTGTTTATTAACATTGTGTAACGGAAATGAGTCTTTTTATTAAATACTAAAATGTTTTTCTTACAAGATGTTTTCGAAGGTTACCAAAGGAAAGTTTGATTACCAAAGGAGGAGGGCTACTGCAGTGGTATTAAGGCACAGTAAAATATAGTTAACCTTTGACATTTGCAAAGGATATCATTATGGCTTATCATTTCCATCATTTCCTTTTAAAACAAGAATATCATTTTCCTCCTGTTTTTATGTATTAAATAGAATCATGAAGCCAATGAAGATGGAAATGCTATGCAGGGCTTCCTAGCTCTGATAACCTTCTGCATATCAATCCCAAAGCATAAGCAATTTATGTTTTTGGCTCAGCTATATGATGTCATTACACATAGGAAAGGGTGCTTTTAAATAGTTCAGATGGTCAGTGTTAAATCCTTAAGTGCTCCTTTCCTTACTTTTTGCCTGGCTGTCTTCCATTCATTTTTGTGTTTCAATTTATTTTTATTTATTTATTTATTTTTAAAATATATTTTATTGATTTTTTTACAGAGAGGAAG